GATGGGATGTTTATGTACTAGCTGGGCAGTTATATTAAAAAAAGAAAGTGTATATAGATCCCAGATAGGACGTCCCATTTATGTCCTGATTTGGTCCCTTGTTGGTCCCGGAAATAAATAGGTCGTCCACTGGACTTCCGATTACAGTAAACACTAGGACGTCCTCTGGACGTCTTATTTTGGTACCGTTTCGACAAAGCGTTTAATTTACATCAATCAAAGTACACAAACCTTTCAAAGTAAGTGTTCGAAGTGAAAAAGCCTCCAAAACTGCCTGACAATATCCTAGTCTATCAACAAATTATCTTAAGTCATTTCGATAAACTTCAGGTGTTATTTCTCGAACAGCAATTCTTATTTTGTCTTCAAATTCTTCCAGCTAATATGGCAGGTCCTTATAAACTACTAATTTCAAATGGCCCTAAATAAAAAATCTAGTGGAGGTAAATCCGGTGACCGTGCCGGCTACTCAATATTTCCTCTTCGACCCACCCATCTCTGTGAAAATATTGTGTTCAGGCACTGCCTCACTCTAGCATCGAAATGAGGAGAAGCCACCATCTTGCTGGAACAAATTTCTTTAGAAAGTTCTAACTGATTTTTATGAATTGGAAATAAACGAACTAACTCTGCAACTATCTGCTCTTGAAAAAGTTGCCAATAAAGGTCATCGTTCAGAGTTCCTCTCATGAAGACTGGTCCAATAATTCTTCCTCTAACTATATCAGCCCAAATATTAAACTTTTTTGGATATTGGATGTGAACTTCTTCCATTCAGTAAGGATTAGGATCAGACCAATACCGGCAATTATGTTTATTTACAAATCCACTGAGACAAAATTTTGATTCGCCAGAAAAAACAATGTCGTTTCTCATCAACATATTATATTCGTTATTGGCATCCATCAATTCCTGACAGAAATGCATTTGCCTTTCTGGGTCATCTTCATTCAATTCTTTGTGTAATATTGCACTTTATAGGGATGAAATTTATTGACTTTCAGAATCCGAGAAATTAGTTTTTTTCAGGAACCGCTGTCAAAATATCCTGATTACTAGCGGCTAGTAGTCGGTTAATAACGAACCATATCCTAAAATTGATGCAACAATAAGGCAACAGAGACATTTAAGGAAATAAGGTGGGAAACCCTCTCATTTAAAAACTACTAACCAGACAGCACACCAAATCCTTTGGATATCTACTGAACATCCCAATATCCACTGAATGTCCAGTCCATGGTGGATATCTATTTTATATCCATGAGATGTAATTTATAGACATGCAAGTAATTATATAGCAAATTATTAAAAAATTACGCCATTGTGCTCGCCATTGTGGCTAATAGTACCGTTCAGATATTTAAAATTAATTTTTTAAAGGTGTATTCAATATTCCATGGACATCCACTAAATATATCAAAGTCTAGGCGCGAACGCAAACCATGGTGGATATCCACTAGATGTAATTTTTGATTTTGCTTACTAAGTATAGATGGCGATACCACTTTCGCTCGTTGTCATGATCAACCCGCCGTAATTGAGTTCGATCGAAATTGGTATCCCAATCAGACTAAATTAGAGACTGGAGTCGAGAATTTCCATTTATTGCTGAAGAGTCCTAATAAGGATGACTTTCTCCTTAGTGGGCAAAATCAAAGGCAAAATATTTTAAGTGTTGAAAATATTTTTTATCTCTGCTATTTTCTTTCGACGTTATTCAATTATCATTGATTACTTATGAACCTCTACTAAAGATACCCATAAAATATTTTGCTGAATATCCTGGGATATAGACGGACATTTGGATATCCACATTAGATCCACTGGATATATTGGATACCCACAAAATATATTCTGTGGATATCTCTGGGATTTCTTGTATTGGATTAGATATTTTAGATATTTTGCTGGATATCCATAGGATATCTTCTATATTCTGGATATAGACGGACATTTGGATATCCATATTAGATCCACGAGATAATACTGATATCCTGTGGATATATTGGATATCCACAAAAGATATTCTGTGGATATCTCTGGGATTTGGTGTGTTGTCTGGGTAGATATTTATTAAAACAAAAGCAACAAATTTTCGTAGATTTAAAACAGATTGGCGCGAATTATTTTTTTAATTGCTGATAAAAATTATCAAAATAACTATACTTCGAAGGTTTACAAATAAATCAAGGTTTCTCTACCTTAAGTTTTGTTATTTTTCCTGAAAATTTCACAAAAATCGGACTAAAAATAAAGGTTCGGAACGAATTAGAAGTCTTGAAGGTGCACCTTAATTTAGATTAAAAATATGATTCAAAGTTCGTATCACTTCGTACAGTAATTTTATTATTCTCGGTAGTTCATTTACAATCTATTTGTCTATCGTATTTTAGTACAAACAAAAAATCTCGTGAGTTGTATATAAGTACGTAATATTTCAAAGGCAAGAGCTCCTACGCTTATCAATTGTGTCAGACATATCATATGATGTAATGTAATTAATATGTTGTACGTATAATATTTACCTTGTCATTATTTTATCATGTCATTATTGGGATCATAACTAAAAGATTGGATATAGAATAACAATCGCAGGTTATTTTAACAAAATATACGGATTTTACTAATTATGCTAAATGTTACTAAACAAAAACCTAATAAATGTCAATACTGAAAGAGGTAATTTCTTGACATATTTTGATTAAAATCACATAAAATAAATAAGATAGTAGTGAATAGGGGAAATTGATAATCTATTTTTTTAGTTAATTTTATATTTTTCTGACGTGCGTATATTTAACATTTTTCATTTATTTTTCCAATATAATTTTTCCATCTCACTTTAGATGTTAAAAAAATTGATAGGGCCCAACAATATAGGGTGTTATTAAATTTAATTCGCACCTTCAAAACAAAAAATCACTTTAAAGTACGTTTTTCAAAATGTTATTTTATTTTTTTAACTTTCGGCCTAATAAATAAATTAAAACTATAATAAATAGTTCCATTAATAACAAATAAATTGCTGTGATTAGTATTTTAATAGTAAACTTTCTAGGACAAAATTAAAAGTTAAAAGTGCTCTCCTGTAAATTGAGAATTTTTGTAAAATGTCACTTTTGGTTTCAAAGTGCCATATTAACAATTAAAAAAAACTTACATAGGAAACTGACAATTGTTAGATTTGTTGAGTTCTGAATCTTTTTTATCTTTATTTAATAATATATAATATTAATAAGTTATATCAAATCAATTTATAAATTGTGCAATATTATGCAATATTAAGGATTATTTGAAAAATAAAAGAGGATTTTTGGAAATTAATTTAAAAATGAATATTTATTTACATTTACGGAAATCAAAAAGCTTGTCTCAAAAATTATTTAATTTAAAATTTTGGTGAACCCGCCTAGTTTTTTTAATCAGTTAATGACTCCGGTAGTTTGTTATCGTATATTGTCTTGTCATCTTCTAGTTCGTCGATCTGCTAGTAGAGATGGGAAAAAATTAACTGTTACTTCATCAACAAATTGCACTAATGTACAAGAAGGAATTAAATAATCTATTTGCTTATATAAGTGCTATTTATAAGATATTTTAGTCTTAAAAAGAAAAAATTTGGCTCTAAATGTTACAAAAGTTTTAGACAACTTTTTTGCTCCAGTTTTAATATTTCTTCTTTCTAAACTAGATTTTTATAAAAACTGAAAATATATATAATTTTCTTACAGCTAGGATTACATTAAAAATACATTACATGCCTTAATAATCTAAGATCCGAAGTAAGGTCGACCTTCACCCATCTGTTTAATGGATGAAAGTTTTTTTTAATAAATAAAATATGTTTATAAGCAAATGGGCTGCCTAAGAAACTACGGTCAATACTATTTATTTTCTTAAAGTGAAAAAAACGACACCCTGTAAAGTATTTCCCAGATGCTTCGACTATGCCCAAAATTTAATCAGTTGACCCCAGTATGGATTAAATATTAAGTTTAAAATATGATGTTTTTCTCTTTTTGAGTTGTCTTCAAAATTCGTAATTTTCACTTTTCCTCAAATATCTCGAATACGGTTCATTTTAGGAAGATCATGTATAGGACCAAAATTATAGAGAATTACATCACAAGCAACTTTTATCATGATTCCTATACTTTCCTTATCTGTATACAGAAAAATAGCCGTGACAGTATTTTCTTAGACAACCCATTGTCGGTATATTTATAAACATATTTATTGATCCGTTAAACAAATGGACAAAGGTCGACCTTACTTCGGATCCTGTATTATAATGATTCCGGAATTGCAGCTTATTAACGTATATGGAATGTTTATGTGCTAGCTGTGTGCATAGTCATAGAAAAAGTATAATGTTCAACTCGCAAGGCATGCTGATTTCCTACTCATACGGTATTCCTCATGCTCATGCTGTAAATAACCTATTCGTAGGCAATGAGTAGGTACCATTTCTTGCTCATTAAACAATATAATATTGTAGGTATGTATCTGATATAAATCATGACCTATCTATTTAAAACACCCTGTAGATATAAAATAAGCATTCCTGAAAAATCGCTTAAAATTATTTTCTTTATTAGTTATCTCTTATTTGGAGGAAAAGTTATTTTTCTATCACTAGGGAGAAAAGTGCCCAAGATATAAAAATTAAATTTTGAAAAAAGTTTAAAAAAAGTCTATTTATAAAACAAAGTTATACGATCTAAATTTGTATTCATCCACAACTATTGAATATTAAATAATTGCAATAACGTCAAATTTGTAAATAATAAGTAGGTACAGTAGGTTACAGTATGCTGTTGTTCTAGCGTTCTAAATTTAATTCGTATTATTTTTTCTTAACGGTTCCACACGTTTCCGCCTCTATACCGGATCAAAGCTGGTAGAGGATCAATGAAAGATTGCACCTACGATCGTGCCCGAAGAATACCGAACGCTTCAAATATATTATTTCGCCGCCGTTCGCTAGGTTAGTGGAAATACACTTTTGACGATTTAGTCGATAATGTTACATAGAACGGGGTTAGAAGTTATGTAACACCGAATGTACAGGTCGTGCTATAAAACCGACAAGGTAGCGTAACCTCCGACTCGAGCGATGTGATTTTTCTTGTGCTAAAAATTCAAAATACACGCGGGAATGTACTGGGAATTTTGAAAAGGACGTTTACAAAATTTTAGAAAAAAAAATTATTGAATAACTCAATTTTTTATTTTTATTTCTGGTTTTTAATTTTTTAATAAACTTGACCGGTTTTTTGTGATTGGTTCGAAAAATAATGTTGTTAGGCTGTTAAGATAATATTTTCGAAAAAAGAACTGTTGCGACTGATGGTAGGTGGAAGATTTTTGGAGAAAGGAGTGTTTTGAGAAAATGGGAAAAAAGGCAAGGAAAACTAGATGGCGTACACTAGAAATTACCGGTGAGTTTTAAAAACGTTAAATTATGGTTTTTAATACAGTGTTTCATTTATCATTTAAGAAAATACCAATTAGATACTTGCTTTAATATTTTTTGAACTGCTTCAGAATGTGATTCGAAAGATAACTTACATAAAGCTTTTACTTTTATTAAAAGAAAACTTTCCAAAATACAATTTATCAATTTGAAAAATAGACTAGGTGGCTGAATTAATGCGTTTTTAAAAGAAAATAAATTAATACACTATTATTTCTAAAAAATTAATAAACTTTTAATATTCTCATGAAACAAAAACATTCGCATCAAAATGCTTTTATTTCAAAATTGTTTATTAGAGTATCATTTAAAAAATGTCATATATTTTTTATTATAAAAAAATGTCGCATAAAAAATGTCTCATAAAAAATGTCTCATTTAAAAAAAATGTCCCATTTAAAAAAAATTTTCATTTAAAAAAATGTCTCATTTATTCTGATAAAAGATGTCTCATAAAAATGCCTCGATGAAAAAAAAATGTCACCCCCCATAATTTAAACGCTTTATACTTATAAGATTATGTGCGTCTATTCTAAAATATGAATGCTCATCAGAATAGGTCAAAATTTTTAGGTAAACGATATACTGGGTGTCGAAATTTATTTTCTACTCATGGTTTATAATTTTTATTTACCAAACGTTTTAAAATTAATGAAAATTTAGTCAGTTATATAACTTTTTATGCCTAATAAGATTTATTCAGATTTAATTAATAAAACCAGAGGCACCGTTTTTAGAGGTGGGTACCTAACGATATTTCACCCTGTAACTATTTTGGCTTAATACTATTCGTATATATTTCTTCTATTACTTTATTATGATAATTTAGAATAGTAGTTTGTGCAACTGTAACAAGAGTGAATATGGACCATCCACTCGAGTTGTGTAGTATATTTTTTCTACGACCCACTAACGAAAATCTACAAATTTTTAATTTTTTTTAGATTATTATGACAAAATAACTAATTTTTAAATAATTTGACTTTTCTAATTTATAAAATAAACATAAAAAAATGATTTAATTTAATTAATCTCCAGCCCAGATTTGAACCCGGACCTCTCGCATAGCAGCCAAATGCCCTGGTCTCATCCTCCATGGAAACAAATAACACTTTAGTTTTAATACTGGTAATTAAATTAGTTTCATATAGTTTGATTAAAATTTTGAATTTATTTGTTAATATAGACAAAATAAAAATAGAAATGCTATTATTTATCGATTCTACACAAGAATAACTAATTTTTTCGTATATTTAATCTCAATAACTAAAAATATACTGACATCAATTAGTTTAAAGGAATTGTCACTTATATAAAATTTAAAAAAATAAGAGTAGCCGGGTGACCAAAATATGAACTGATATTTCATTTTTTTATAGTGTTCTTACTAGGTAGAATGGATATAAAATATATTCGTTCAGTTGAATGCATTGGTATACTTTTTCGTTCTGTAGTCTGTGCGTAGATAAGCTAATATCTATGTGGGTGTACATAAACGTTAATTAGTGACAGAGAAAAGAAAAAATAATATTTTCTTCTTGCCTAAAAATTTTGAGTTCGGAAAATTGGTCTAATTAAAGGTAAATCGTTGCATATGTTGTAATCTTGTTGGGAATTTATAAAGTGGTTGGTTTTTGAGATATTCGCTCTCAAATTTATTTTTAAATTTTGTAACTTTGAAGTTTTCCCAACAATACATGATTTACTTAAAAAACAAAAAAAATTAAATAATTGGCCAAATAAGTTATTTGACAGTGGCGTAAAATTTAGAAAGAATGAAGGTGTTACTTGCCCATGCCGTACGCCACTGGAAAAGTTTATTTAACTGATTTTTTTACCGATAGTATATACAGGGTGTCCCAAAATTAGACGGTCATATTTTAACAGCCTAATCTATATCCTAAAATAGGAATAATCATGAAATGTTCAAATGCTTTTTTCTTGAAAATGGTGCGTCCTAGCGAGATGCAACAATAGTAGCTTTATTATTAAAAAAACATTGTTTTTCCAAATTTTAAAGTCAAAAATGTTAAAAACTGTCAACAAAAAAAACTTAGGGCAATTTTACCCTAAGCCCCCCTAATTTACCGACCTATCAAAAACTGAGGCTTAGTCCATTAAATAGAGCGTAAAAAGGTAAGCATTTGTACCAAATTTTACTTAGTTATCTTTAAACGTTTAGAAAATATTTACAAAAGAGTGTCATCAGGACTTCACTTTTTTAACACCCTGTATCTCGGAAAAGAAACGTTTTCGGAACTATGTTTATATGAATTTTTATTCCTATTTTAGGATGTAGATTATGCTGTTAAAATATTACCGTCTAATTTCGGGACACCCTGTATATACCAAAGTATTTTATGACACCAAAAACGTTTGCCAAATTTTGTAAAATTATACTGAGTAATAAAAAATTTATATTCATTAATAATTTTTGAATTTTCACTTTAACACCCTAGTAACATTTTACCTTAACATGTTTCGTTTAATCTTACTTTTAATCAGAGAATCTTCAGTTGTTTGTTCTATGTCCCATTCTTAATGGAACACCTTTATAAACACCCTGTATAAAGTTGAGGAACACTTTTCCAAATTTAAGAAATGATTTTACATTATTGAGCCATTCAACATAAAAATAAGTGAGAAAGATGTCGGTGGAAACTTTAGATTAAAGAGACTACTTTAATCCTTAGGAGACAATTTTATTGCATCCTGTCATTACCACAAAAGATAAATGAGTTTATTCAATATGTGAAAAAAACACTCATGACAATATAATAGGTAATTAAAAAACTCTGAATAACGTCTTTTAACTAAATCAAACTAGTAATACAACATGGATACGATTTATTAAAGAAAATGAATGATATGTAATCTGTCAATGTCAACATTTTAAATATTTTAATGTTGTTTTGAAATTTAAAACCTACTTGATGAAACAAAATTTGATTTTTCTCGAAAACGGTCGACTTTAGAGCGTATGACCAAGAGTACCTTTTTTGTGTAGAAAACATTGGCGGTTCAAATGGACGTCTCAAAACCGTACTTTTTCCAGTGGCGTAGAAATTTTTTTTTTCAATTTCAACACCCTGTGTATCTCGAAAATGGTGCATTTTAGAGGGTAAGTTAATAGAAACGTTTTTTCATATTTTTGGACGTGCTATCACGTCCTGAAGTCCTGCGCATATATTATGAAACACCCTGTATACAGAATATATGTATATTTGATACTAAAAAGAAATTTATTTAAAAAACTTAATATAATGCTGCATGCTTTAATCCAGAGCCGGCGGAAGGGCCGGGCAACGATCGACCAAAATTAAAATATTATAAAATTATTTATTAAAAAATGAATTGACTGATAGGTGACAAAAAAAATCCTTAAAAAAAGGTCGCCCGCGTTTGGTCCGAAGAGATATCGTTAGCCTAAATTGTAGGCCAGTCAAGGCTTGCGCGATCTAAATATATTATGTTCCTTCCGCCGGCCTTTTTTAATAATGATTTTTAAAAATGTTTGTTTTCTCCTATTAAGGTTGTGCAATGGAAGAGAAGTTTGAGTAAGTCCTGCCAAAAAGAGACAAAATAAAGTTACCCGACAGGTGCTGCCTCTAGTTAGCAACTATGTAACAAATATACGTCCTGCAGTTTGCGTCCGTGAATAAAAAAGTATTCTTCTAAACTCGCAGGGCTGGGTGATGGCTGCATTCAATAATTCATTTGAAAAATAAAGATGGGCATTTCAGTTTATGCGGTTAAAAAGGACCGTAGAATAATTGCTTTTTGGGGGTAGGGGGAGACAGAATCCTTAACTACGAGCCGCCACTGATTTTAATAAAACCAGATCGCATCCATGACAAACATTTTCGAGAAAATCCTACTTCCTATGTTGTTGTATGTATGCCTCCCAGATTTACTGCCTAGCTTTTCGAATAGAGCTTTAATTATTCGTACATTTCCAGAATCCCTGAGGGAAACCAGCTTAAGGAAGGTAATTTTCGGTGCTGACAACCGTTAAATAGGTAACCAGCTTTCACCATGTCTCTAGCCTAATATCAAATAATTTATGTACGACCGCAATGTTAAGCATGGTACGCGTCTAGTAAATTAATTGAGGTATTTTATTTTACTTCCCCTTCAGTTTTTATTTAAAAAGGGACTTGGTCATGGAAGCTTGACATAGTTTACTGTGTATAATATTAACTAATATTAGCTTATCTACGCACAGCCTACAAAACAAAAAGTATGCCATTATGTTCAACTGAACGAATATATTTCATATCGATTCTACCTAGTAAGAACACTGAAAAAAATAAAAACAAAATCCACCAATCACAGTTCATAACCGGACCACAGAGTGGCAATTCTATAAAACTAATTGTCCGTACATTTTTTAGTTATTAAGGTTTGCGTCTGACATACAAGGAATCACTTTTCGCGCAAGAAAAAGATGGGTAGTCTGTTCGCTATACTTACGCGGGTTTCGGATAAACAAAATTATGCAAATTAGTCATTGACAACCAGTTCCAATAAGCCTCTTCCAAAGAAATTAGGTAAAATTTCCCTAATGGTCAGATTTAAATTAAAATAACATTAGGGTAGGTACTAAATTTGTTACAAATATTGCAGTTGAATTGATTCTTTGCAAGTGTTGACATTGTATGTATATTGTAAATTTTAAAAATGCCTAGACGTGTGTTAGATGTAGATAGTCTAATTTGTAGTGTACATAAGTGTTTTACGGATGAAAGAGAAAATGGCGGTCCTTTAAAATCGGTAATCTCTGTACAACAACGCGTAGGCGATGCTCTAGGAATTAGTGAAACCAAATTAAGAGTTTTACAAAATCACAATAGTGAACTGCCGAAAGAAGATCACCGCAAAACTCGCCCATCATTGAAAACGAAAGATATTCCAGATGGAAAGAAATTTGAAATTCGTGATACCATTTATCGAATGAGGGCCAAC